AGCCCTCCAGACTTGCCCTTCCTCCCCTGCAGGCACCTGGGCTCCAGGAGGAACAGGTCAGGCCAGCGGAGCTTTGAGAATGTCTGCCCACCCCTGAGAGCTGGCTCTGTCAGCGGTTCTCACCCATGTGTCACAGTGGCAGCATGACAGGGGCGGGACAGGTGCAAGGGCCTGTCCAGCACAAGGAGGAGCCAGATCACCAGAGCAGAAAGCCCTGGGCTCAGAAACCAGGGCAAACGTCGAGTCCCAGATCCAGAAGCTGCTGGTGACCTTGGCCAAGGTCGCTGGACCTCTCCAGATCCCACCTTGGTGGACAAGGGCTAATAACAGTAGTACCTGCGACGGGGCTGCCAGCTCTGGGGGGCACTGTGCAGTGTGTGTGTGTGCATGCATATGTGTGCACACATGTGTGTGAACGTATGTGTGCACATGTGTGTGCATGTGTATGTGTGTGTGCACGTGTGTGCATGTTCTGAGAGGACAGGAGAAGGAGAAGGCAAGGGCTGAAAAATCTAGATTGAGGAACAGGTGGTCACAGGTACGCACAGACACCACATGCTGTCCCACTCTGGCTGGGAGATACGAGAACCAGACTGTCTCAAGGTGATGGACAATGGATTTGGGCCTGGGAACAGGGGAGAAGGACAGTGGGACAACACATATAATGTCCACATAGGGTCTGTAACAGACCTTGTAGGCCCATGACTGCGGAGTGAGGGGCGTGTTTCCCAGGTACGGATAGAGAGAGGAGGGTCCTAGGCACCAGCCCTCGAGTGATGTGGGCCTCGCTTACCCAGGACCAGCTCCGAGGGACACGGCGGCGTTGGAGCAGAGGAGAGGTCGGGTGGGCAGGCACCTTCAAGGTCGCACACGGGAGTTGGGGAAAGGAAGGGCCGGTCAGGGAACTTCCCTGAGTGGCTGCAGAGGAGAGGCCACTGCAGACAGCCAGGAAAGCCCGTCCACAGCAGCCCCTGGTGTCCCCGAGCTGCAGTACATCACACAGGGACGCACACCAGCCCCAACCCAGGAGGGAGGATGGGAGGCCATCTGCACGCGATGCCCCTGGGGACGACGCGACAGCAGGCAGGAGCAGGCTGAGGAAGAGAGTCCACAGCGAATGTGGACGACAGGGTGGGGCCTGAGGGGCCAGTGGCTGGCATGGACGCCAGGAGGGCTGACCACACCAGGGCTCGGGAAGACGGGGGTCAATTCTGAGCAGAGCCCAGGAACAGGCGCGGGGAGGACCACGGAGGGACGGGGCCCTAGGATGGAAAGGCCACTCCCAACTCAAGCTAAAGCTCCCCACCCTGTGGGCAGGAGCCGCTTGGAAACGCTGGCCTGAGACAGGCCCCCACGTCAGAGGCGAGGGCGCGTTCCACGGGCCACTCCAGAGAAACCAGAGAAGATACCATGTCCACCCCCCGGGAATCACAGAGCCCAGACAGGGGACCGTGACTCTGCCACTGTTTGCCCACCAGGAACTGCCAGCCAGCTCATCACAGAGACTGTCCGCAGGGCAACCCACTGCCCAATTCAAGCCATCTGAGCAGCACACGGGGAAAAAGGCCGAGGCCAATGGCACCACAGTGGGCTGTCCCATCCTGGCCATCCCAGGAGGAGACGAAGACCAGATTCTGGCCTGGGAACAGGAGAGAAGGGCACTGGGAGAACAAAGGAGCTGAGGATCCCTGGCACAGGAGCCCAGGGCCCTCGAGACCCACCTCTGCCCAGCGGCCAGGCATGAGGTGGACATCTCCAGATGGTGAGATGCCACTGCACGCCAACCCCCGCAGCCCAGGGCCCAAAGGAGAGCTTCTCCCCAGGTCCGGGAGGACGCGAGGGGTAAAGGCCACCCTGTGGGGCCTGCACCTGTGGGGCCACCACTCAGCTGGCTGACGGCCCAGGGGCCTCTTCTCCCGCAGGGTGAAGGTGCCAACCTGGGCGGCTTGGGGGCTGAGCCACTTGTCACATACAACACACGCACGTGTGATCTGTGACAAGAGGAGGTTTTCACAGGCCCAGGTTGTCCTCAGTGTGGCAAAGGGATCAGAGACTGTCACACAGGGCCTCGGCGAAACAGCAGGAAGGGGCCAAGGGGGCTGCCTGAGACCCGCGTCACACTGGGGCCCGCCCAGGCGTCCACCAGAGCAGAGCAGGCACGTGGCACACAAGGGTCACCGCCCAAGGGTCACCGCCCCAGAGAGACGGACTCCAGACAGGCGCGTTCACAACACCAGTCAGTCTTTAAAACACATCGTACAGAATCCCACGCGCTACACTTCCAGACGCACAGAAGCCACTGTGGCCTCGCACCATGCAGACTCCCAGGATGGACGGTGGGCCCCTGGGCACAGGCATGAGGAGCCCACTTCCTTGATGTCCCTGTAATGACTGAATGTGACCCACCTTGTGGTTCTCCCCAGCCATCCTGAGAGGGAGGCTGGGGTCCGGCATGGGACCTGTAGGAGGCAGAGTCTAGTGATTAGGTCACTGAGGCCACCGCCCTTGGAAGGCACTGATGTCACTCTCCAGGGACCATGGTTAGTTCTTAAGAGCAGACTTACAAAACAGCAGGCACGGTGCCTTTCCCACCTGATCCCATTCCGTCTCATGATCTCTCCTCCTCCCACGCTCTGCCTCTGTGACACCACTCTCCACGAGGGCCTCCCTGGGAATGAACTGTGCCCAGCACTACGTTCTGGGAACCACCAGGACCAACAGCTAAATAAACCTCTTTTCTTTATAAAGTCCTCAGCTCGAGTATTTCATCATAGTTACAGAAAATGGACTGATAAATAGGAGTGAACGAAGGAATGTCTCCATCCGTCCGTCCTTGGGGGGTTTGTTTGGATGGATGATTTCCAACTCTACTCTGACCAATTTTGCTCAGCTTTGCATGATTCTCCCCTGAGCTTTGTTTAAAGAGAAGAAACAGAAATTGGCAGGAGTGAATTGCAGCAAGAGATGCCCTGTGTGATGGTGCTATTTCCACGCCTGTATCTAGGGTCAGCACTCATCCACGGGACCTCTGTCCCTGCACCCATCCCTGATGAGGAACCAGGTGGGAAGCCGACCCTGGGCCATCTTCAAGCAGGAGGCTATAGCTGCCGCAGCATGGGAGGTGGCCGGTGTATGAGCACAGCACGGTGTCAACGACATCAGTGCCCGGGGAGCAGGCCAGAAGACCACTGCCAGGTCCGCTGGCGTCCAGCTCCTCAGCTCTGAGCCACACCACCTGTCCTCTGAGGATGCACGGGTGGCCGGAATGCAGGAGACCTTGAGGCAGCTGGACTGTAACCTTGGAAACTGGCTTCCCTAGTTCCCATCACAGATGGCCGTCTGACCGCCTGGGCCAGCTGGAGTTGGACCCTGCCTGCTCTGAACTCAGAACAGATCTCACTGTCCCGCCCAGAGCCCAAGATGCTTGTAAAAAAGGCAGGAGGAGCCGTGACTCAGTGTCCACCTTGCAACATGATAAACAGTGAGGGGACAGTCTCCCACAGAAAACAGACGCCCTGCTCCAGGCTGCGAGCTGGGCCGCCCTCCAGAAGGACAAGCACAGTGGCTTCACCGCTGGCCTCAAGCCACAGAGCACAGGCCTCCTTCGATCAGGGACCCCGGCTGAACCTGCAGGGCTGTTAGACCCCCAGGCCCCACTGTGCACCTGATGAAAAGGTGGCACCAACTGTCCCTGCCCCGTGGAAAAGGCAAACCTGCATGCTCTGCCCACCCCAGGACCTGGGGGCACTCTGCCGGGAGTCCACACCCGTGGAGAAGGCCAAAGTCCAGCCCCAGTGTGGCCTGTCACCCCAGCAGAGCCTGGCTTTACGCTGAGAAAGTTCTGCTCCGAGAAGTCTGAGAAATCAGCTCCCGAGCACTCAGAGCAGAGTTGGGAGGGGGGAGGCCGCACGTGGACAGATGTGGGCCATCACCAAACGCAATCATCTCGACCTCTTCAAGAGCCACCCAGGGTACAGGCGGCTCTGCCTGGTTCTCACGGCCAGGGCTGCTCAGCAGATCCTGCAGGGAAGGGTCGGGTCCTCCTGCTAGCAAGTGACCAGCAGGATCTACTCGAATCAAAACACGTAAAAATCCCCCAGAGCCACGCACCCCTGATGTCCATTCTCAGCACTGACTCCCAAGGGTGGGGAGGCCTCTCACCTCCCACCTGCCAACACTGCGAGGGTCTACATCCCCATTCCCATGGGAAACCCAGTCACTGGTGTGATAACACTAGGGGCCTCCAGAGGTTGATCAGGAAGGTGGAGTCCCAAGGGCAGAGTCCCTGCGGGAGAGGGCGGAGCCTCCGCGGCAGAGGGCGGAGCCCTTACAGACAAGGCCCAAGAGCTCCCTGTCCTTCCACCAGTCAAAACACAGCCCCCTGTGGACCAGGAAGAGCCCTTGTCAGACATCAGATCTCTTGATCTTGAGCATCCAGCACCCAGAACCGTGGACAATGACTCGTGTTGTCCACAAGCCACCAGCCTCTGGCGTTTTGCCATAACTGCCCAGAGGGAGTCCGACACCATCCAAGCACCACTCCAGCCAGCTCTGGGGTCACCGGGAGGACCCGCTCAGGAGGAGGGCAGGGCCCTGCTCTCTGCTTGTGTCCTGGATCTGCACATCCTTGGGCCAACCAAGGCCGGGCAGCCCGAGGTGACCCCACGTCAACAGATGGCCATGGACAGGGCTCAGCCTCCCCTGCGGCTGGAGTCCACAGTGATGATGCCCGTGTGAGGCGATTCCGCAGTGATGAAGAAGCAGGCTGGACGGCACCCCTCCCCAGCAGGAGCAGGGAAACCAGAGCCTTCCCCACAGGTGTCCAGGCTCCAACGTCCCCCACACAGGGGTCATTCAGGCGAAAGCTGGCCTGAGCTCCTCCACTGCACCATGGCCGGCCTTGGCCACTATGGCCAGGGCCCAAAGCCCTCCCACTATGGCCTCCAGGTGGCCGTGGGCCTCCCTGGGCTGCCCAAGCGCCCAGCAGGGCTGGCTCTTACCGTCAAGCTCCTCCACAGAGATGTTGGCCAGCTGCTCGCTGTCGCTGCCCGCCGAGAGGGACCGGTTGAGGTAATTGCCCTTGTACAGCAGGCCGGCCGTCACGTGGTGGAACGGCATCTTCTCCCTGCTCGCCAGAGACGGGGAGAAGAGAGGCACAGGGTCACTCACTCGGTCCTCCTGTCCTTCCCTGGAGAACCCCCCAACCCCCAGATGTCCAGCGTTGTCACTAAAATAACAACGACACCCTTAGAGGGACAGCCAGAGTGTCACAGGGTCCCCAGGCCTGAGCATCGCAGGGAGCCTGGGTTCTCTGGTTCCCTCCTCTGAGGTCTTCCCTCACCTTCCCCAGGGCTTGCAAAGGTGGGCCGCAGGGTCTTTCCAAACCTCACCCCATCGTCCACCTGCCGTCCCCCCACAGGCGCCCAAGACACTAAGGAAGCTCCTGCCCTTGCCTCAGAGGCCGTGTCCACTGCTCCTGAGGAAGCACGGCTGGACCCCGGGCTCTGGTCCTGTGGGGGTCCGGGAGCCAGTTTCTCTGGGAAGACAGGTGTCCATCACACCGCACTCCCCACAGGGAGGAAATAGGGGCCACGGTCTGCACCTCGGACGCTGCCCGCAGCCTGGCCGAGAGGCCCCTGGGCAGCTCCTGCGCACACTCTGAAGGGCCAATCACCCCTGCCGCTGTGGGGGGAAGTGGGGCCACACCCCGTGAGCTTGCCACACCCACAGGAGGCCAGGCACCCTCCGGCCACTCTCAGGCCTTCCAGACACAGCTCCTGTGCCCAAGGCCACCACTCGGACCTGAAAGCTCCGGAGGGCCAGGCAGGCCTGAGGCCTCCCGCCCAGAAGAGGCCCCCAGAGGAGTGTGAGACCCCTGAGCAGGGCCTGCAGGGAAGGGCCGGGAGCAGCTCTGCAGCAGAGCTCGAGGCCAGCTGGGGCACCCGAGCTGGGGCACCCAGGGCTGAGCTCCCCCCGCCACACCCTGGCTCAAGCAGAGGCTCGGCTCCCTGCTGGCTCCTGAGGTGGCCCCACTGAGGTGGTCACCTGCACTGGCCCTTCTGGCACTGAAGCTTGCTCTGCAGGGAGCCACAAGCCTCTGGACCCTCCCGAGTGACTAGGTATCAACGTGACTAGGTGTAAACGCACAGGGAAAGAGAGACAAAATGCCCATCTCTGAAGGTGACCTCCAGGGCACACAGACCTTGCTGTCCCTCAACCCACACTCCTTAGAAAAATCCAGATGAGAGCCACCTTCCTCCTCAGGACGTGCTGCTGCTGGCTGATGGAGGACCGGGCTCCCGTCACCTCCTCCCTGTGCCCAGGACCCCACTTCTCCTCACTCCCTCCAGCCCTGCTAGGGCTCAGAGCTGGTCCCCGAAGGATCCCCCGTGAGAGCCCTAAACAGAAGGGCTGGACCAAGAGCACAGAGCCAGCTCCCGGGAGGACGAGTTCCAGAACCAGTGTCCCGACCATCACTGCGACCCGCGGCCTCAGCTGAGCACCCCACGCCACCCAGGTGTCCAGCCCTCGCACCAAACTCAAGGTGTCTAAAGACAAATTCAGCTTCTTCCTACAAACAGGTTGCACTTCCTGATGTCTCCACTTCCATCAAAGACACTGTTGCTCACAATGACAACTGGGAAAACTGTCATACGGGCGCCAGGTTCGCTAAAGTAAAAGGCCCAGGGCTGAGGCAGGAGCCACCTGTTAGTCTCTGGGCCTTCCCCTGGCTGTCCACAGGCCAGCCATGATGCAAGATGCTGGTCACAAAGGATGAGTGGCTTTGCAGCGGTGCTGGGCAGCTCTGTAGCCCCAAACCTATCCTTGCCCGTGCACCAAGGCAAGAATCTCTTCTCTGGAAGATGCTTCACCTGCGGCTCTTCTCTCCAAGCTGACTCTCAGGCCAAACAGGACTGAAGGGAGACCTGGGTGCGTGAACTAGGGCTGTGCAGCAAGGAGGCCAATCCCTATTTCCTGGGGGTGTGAGGACGGTCGCTTGAGCAGGGGTTGATGTCCGTGGCCAGGGGTGAAGGCTACTTGGCTAATGCCTCCCCAGTGGCTTTAACTCCACCCTCATCCCTGACCCTCACCAGTTACCTGCCAGCTGTTATCCTGACCACTGTCCATCTCTTCCTGACCCCGGGCAGATGCCTGCTCTGATCTCCCATTCTACTTCTAGGCTGAGACCCTCAGGTCTGTGAGGGAGCCCACAATGTCCCTCCATCCCGCTCGGATCACAGTGTCCCTCCATCCCACATGGATCATGGTGTCCCTCTATTCCACATGAATCACAGTGTCCCTCCATCCCACACGGATCATGGTGTCCCTCCATCTGGCACGGATCACAGTGTCCCTCCATCCAGCACAGATCACGGTGTCCCTCTGTGTCCCGCACGGATCATGGTGTCCCTCCATCCCTCACGAATCACTATGTCCCTCCATGCCACACGGATCACAGTGTCCCTCCATCCCACACGGATCACAGTGTCCCTGCATCCTGCACGGATCACAGTGTCCCTCCATCCCGCACGGATCATGGTGTCCCCCTATCCCGCACGGATTATGGTGTCCCTCTATTCCACATGGATCACAGTGTCCCTCCATCCTGCACGGATCACAGTGTCCCTCCATCCTGCACAGATCGCCCCTTCCTCCGCACGGTGACCTCCTGGAAACACCTGTTACCCACACATCTGAAGCCTCAAATCCACCAGACCCATCTTCAAAACCAAAGCCATCAAATTTTTCTCAAGAGCACACACCCTACCCACACCCCTCGTCAGCCTCAGAAGAAAGGTCCAGCGCTTTGCTGAGGAAACTGGTCACAACTGGATCCCCACAACCAACTGCCCCACCTGCTCCTGAATCAGGTACACACTCAGCGCGAGCAGTCTCTGCACCCCAAGTGCTTGGGCCAGCGGGCAGCGCGACCAAACCACCCGTGTAGATAAAGTCCTTCTCTAGAAAAGGAAGAACATCCCCACTCCAGCCACAGACTGCAGCCACAGTCAAGGACGCACCTCACCCCAAGAGCCTTGGGAAACCCAAGCTGGAAGACTCCTCCTCAGCTAAGAAAGAAAACCACAAGCCCTTGAAAAAGAACCAACCAAGTCCTGAACCAAACTCTTAAAGATGGATCCTTACGTAGAGGGCCATGAATAAAAATAACAATATTCCCAGAGCCACTGTGCTCCTTGGGAAATGCTGATAGGTGCCCATCTGCCACATGCGGGACCCTCCTGAATGGTGGGCAGTGCCAAGGCTTGACTGTAACGTGCCTCCGGCCAGTTCACCTGCCAGAACCTAAGGCCAGTGTGACAGTGTTAACAGGAAGTGCATCACAGGGACAGAGCCGTCAGGAATGGGAACAGAACCCCTGTAAGAGGGTCAAGGGCACCAGCTGGGCCCTCCAGCCCTGCCCCTTCTGCCATTCGAGGTCGAAGCGGTGAGCCATCATCTTGGAAGCAGCCAACAGCCCTCACCAGACACGGACACGGCGGGCACCTTGCCTGCTGGTCAACACAGTGCCTGGTCTGAGTCCTAGCTCCACCCTGTTAGCATGAGCCTCCGTCTCTTCCTCTGTAAGACTGGGGTTCGATACATGCTGAATAGCAACAAAAAATACAGATAAGATAGAGCGTGGAATGCTCCTGAGGGCACCAGGCTCAGCCTCTTCAAGTAAGTGACTGCTGAGGGTCAGACAGAGCAGGACAGGGGACAGAAGGAAGCCGCGGATGTTTTAGGTTGCAAACAAAGACACTAAGTCCTGACGATGGAGGGTCCACTAGGCCCAGCAGAGGGTGAGCCGCAGGGAGACCCGCTGGGCGCAGCAGGCTCAGGGACCAGGCCTGAGCACGGGTTCCAGGGCTGAGTGGTGTCACCCAGCACGGGCCATATGAATGGGAGGCGGCTCTGGGAATGGACAGCACCAGCCCAAGAGGAGGCCGACTCCCCGGGCACGTACAGGAAAGGGGTTGAGAGGGTCAAACAAGAGGCAGTCTCACCGTAGGGGGGGACAGACACCTGCCTTGGGAGGGCACTCACACCGACTCCCAACGGCACCCTCTTGGGTGGTGTGTTCTGGCAATTCGATCGGCCCACGGGGCGCACAAGTGTCTGGACGAGTATCACCCTGGGTGTGTCCGAGCGGGTGCTTCTGGGTAGCACTGATGTCTGAATTGGCAGGCAGAGGCCCCCAGTGTGGTGGACTCCTTCCAGGCCACAGGGGCCTGAATAGGGTGGACATGCTGAGCAAAGGAGCCCATTGGTGTCTTGCCCTTTGGCATGGACTTGGGCTAGACCCTACTGTCCTGAGTCTCGGGCCTTCAGACCCAGACGGAAACTAGCCATCGGCCATCCTGCAACTTCAGCCCGCTGAGGCAGACAGCAGACGGCACTGGCTCCGTCACCACCCGCCAGCCCCTCGCGGCACCCCTGAGAGGCAAGCGCGATGCTCCTTGGGAGGACCACACCAACAGCCGCCCGCACACTGCCCCATGTTGCCAGCGCCAAGTGGCTGAAGGGATACTGTTATTCTGTTCTGGACAGTCTGCTCTGCAAGGCCCCTAGAGCAGTGCTACTCCAAGTGTGGTCCGGGGACCAGCCCAGCCGTGCCCCTTACTGAGATGAGTGAAGGAGACGTGGGGAGCCCTGGGTGCCCTGCAGCTGCCCAAAGCACCACCCAGCTTCTCACTCGTCGTCGGTGGACCTGATTTTGACATATTTCTGTTTTTAATTTTATCTTTCCCAGTGACTCTTTCTCACTGCATTTTGCCAACATATTGGTCTGCAGAGGACCGAGAGCTCAAAAAAAAAACCCTGGCCCAGAGAGGAAGGAAGACACCAAGAAGTGCATTCACACTTCCTCTGAGGCTTCTTCAAAGACCGTGGAGTTTTCGCACAGGTTAGGTGGACTTTTCAAAGGAGCATAAAGCCCTCGGGTGCCTCTTGAGCCCAGTGCAGTGCCTGGAGGCTGCGGGCATCCGGCAGACACACAGCGACCCCTGCCCCCAATTACCAGGCACACAGGGCCAAAGTCAATCTCCTACTCCAAAAGCCAAAGAGCCAGCGAACCATGGCAGGGCCCTCGCCAAGTCCCCGTGACGTCCCCAGGAGCACTGTCTC